TTTTTTTAAAAAAATGGCGGGAAAATGTATCGAATTTCTTTCCGGTTTTTTGGTTTTCCGGTTTTCTGATTTCCGGATAACGGGTTCTGTACTGTACTATGTTTCTTAATATTATAAAATGTTAATTGCATTTGTTAAGTAATTTTTTGAGGCCATTTAGTAATTATTATTTGTTTCTATTTAAAAGCAGGTTTCCCCTTAATTTGTCTATAAATGTAACAGTTCTCTCTTTTTTTTTCTTTTCTCATAGCTAAAGAGTTGGTTGATTTTTATTGAGATAAGGAATTTAATACATTGTTTTATTTTTGGACTTGACAGTTAATGTGTTTGAACACAAATATTGAATTATGAGAGAATCATTTAATGAAGATTGTTGATATAAGCCATTAAGATATCTTTAATATCACATGAAATGTTTTTGGTAAAATCTGAAGCTCAATTAAGTAACTATTTATTTATAACGGGTTTTGTTTCATAAGTATTAAATATCTGGAATTGAATCTAAATTTTGTTTTAGATCATTAATGCATGAAATAAAACAAATCTAAGTTAAGTTGAATGAACGAAAGAAATATTAAAATTAATTTGAATGCCTGAGTATAAAAATTAAGAGTCTTGATTTAAAGAAGAATCTTAAAATTTTTTGGTCTTAAAATAAGTCCTTAAGGAGAAAGATTTAATAACTGATCAATAGGTATTATTTTCAAAGATACTGTGTGCATTTTATTCTGAACTTCAAGCTTAATCAAACCAAATTTTTTCAACAAAATGAAAATCGTATGCATTATATTATTTTTGAATGTAAGATAAATTCTTTCAGTTTTTAATGAGAATGACAGAGAGCAAACTTTTTTAGAGTTTTCTTTGAAAATTAATCATGAATACTTCTGATATCAGTGAGGCGCAACCTATTTTGATACGGGTCGCAAAAATTAAAAAAAAAATTATTCTAGGTTGGGGCTTAGTAAGTACGGTAAAATTACAATTGTAAAAATATCAAGTGTATTTAGATCCTAATTAAAAGTAACATGTATCTTTGTAGTAACATGTAAAAATTATAAGAAATTACATTTTCCTGCAAGTACTGAACTTAGTCATAAATAAAGTATGCAAAATGAAATTATTACAACCAATTTCAGGCTTGCATTAGGACAGTAAGTATATACAGTATAGAACTCGTTATCCGGAAATCGGGAGACCAAAAAACCGGAACAAAATTCAATACATTTTCCTGCCATTTTTAAAAAAAAGTTTTTTTCCTCATAAGATTTTAGGATTTTTCTTTCTTTTTTGAAAGATATTTACCTTACCATCATTTTGGAAGTAATCATTAGTATATTACTTTATCGTTTTTTCTTCTTTTTAAGATTATTTCCAAATATTTTTTTTTTAGTTGGGTTCGACAATAAAAAGAACGGGTTTTTGTAACGATTCAGAAAACCGGAAAAATCAGTTATCTGGAATAGCGATGGTCCCAATCGTTCTGGATAATCGTTTCCCTACTGTAATATAAAAGCAAGTTTACCAGCCAAAAAAATAAATGAGTAGCAACTTCTTAATAGGGATTTTAAAAACTGAGAAAATTTATAAAAGCTGTTTCACAAATTACTTTCATTGCTAATGCTCTGAGTAGCTATATCAAAAACATTATTTAGTGATAAAAAGTATTCTTGAAAAACCGAAAAAATTTTGCTCTCATACCATTTACTATATTTAAGACTGAAATATATTAAATTACAAATCTTATTATCCTTTAAAAAACAAGTTTTTTTTCTTCGCAATCATATATTTGAATGTTCAACCATAAAGTTTTTTTAATAATTAGTTCACCTTATTTATATACACTCTGATTAGATGTAGTAAATGGGTATCAATCTGATCATTATCAAACTAATGCAATAAAGAAGAAAAATAATACTTTTTAGCCTGCATCATGTTCATCATTAGAGTTCTACAATTATGAGTAAAAAGAAGTTTTTAATTTGTAATATCTGGAATACATTTGACCCTGGCCTTGGGACAAATTAATAAGGCAGAGATGTTTTATCTGTAAGATGTTATGCTGAATCCTCTTATTCTAACTTCCCTGCAATATAATGTAAAATTGAAAAATTTTACTATTGTGCATGGGCAGTTGTAGTATTTTTAGCAGTGGCCACTCTTCAAAAATCTTCAATCTTTTTCTCTAAACGTTAAATGTTGATTTCTATTTCAAAAATGAAATGTTATACGAAACAAGTGTGAAATAATTTTTAGAATATTTCAAAGTATTTATGATAATTACATCTTTATTAAAAAAAAGAAATGTATGCAGATGAGGTGCATTTTGAGGAAAAAAGTAGTAACTTGGTGGCAACTGGAATGGAATTTTTTAATTGCTATATGTTATATTCAGTCACCTTGTGGCCAGTGGTGACGTTTAATTTTGCCCTATACCATGCAACATACAAATGATGTAATCCAATTTGTTAAAATAATATAAAGTAAAGTTTGTAAGAAAAAATGCTGAATGTAAATTTTTTTTTTTACAGGTTTGGAGCAGTTTGTGCAAATTGCGCCAAACTGCTCCAAAACTAAATTTTCTGCACCAGCCTGTTCCAAAATGCTGTTTTATTCCAAAATTGCACCAAGTTTCTCTAAAACTCTAATAATCTCATTGAGTGTAAAGTGCAACTTTAGCTCACTTTATTGCTGTATTTATGTGCAAAAGTCTTTTTTCACATGGTATTCGAAATATTGGAATTAAGAAAAACTGAGTGAAAAGCGTCCTAAAAATAAACAATATTGGACATGTATTTATTGTAGAATTGTTGAAAATAGAGCATGTAACAAATTAGTGACTAAAATGTGAAATGCACTTGTTGTAATAACATTATATGTTTGAAAAGTTGAAGTTTGGCAAAAAACTAGCTTAGAGCCACGTAGAATCAAGAGCAAAAATAAAGCAATTTTCAAATAAGTCGTTTCTCAAAACCAAAATTTTTGTTGTAGTAAATCATAATCATTAAAAATATCAGTATTTGTAAGACGTGTCAAATATAAAATGGGCAAAAATATAATATGGGAACTATGGACTTACAATTTAGATGTTTCAGTTTAGATTAGTGCAAATTTAGTATGTCAAAAAGTGATGATCGTAATCAGGATCAAAGAGCATGCAGGGCAGAATTTTTTCATGCAAAGGGCTAACAGAGTGATGTCTGACCTGTCCCATAAATCCTGCCTAGAATGAACCCTGCATTAATGATGTAATGCAATGGTTTTCTAATGGTATTTTGCAAAGCCCTAGGGTTCCATGGAAGGGTTAAAGGGGTTCTGATTGTTTGGACTTTTTTTTTAAACATTTTTAAAACCTGTTATAACATTGGGATCAAATCATTAATCCATTATTTACTTAATACTTCGGTTGTCTTTATAAAGTAATTTAATGCAAAATGTCAATTTTTTAAAATGCAATTTCGCTGATAACATTATATTAAATATATTATTATTATAAGAACAGACATTGATAACAAATGGCATTAGTATTTCGCAATAGTGTTACAAATCAAAATAAAGTTTAATTTGTTTAATAAGGAAGTATGTTTCCTTGATAACAATTTTTAATGTTGCATTTGTTTCTTTGTAGCAATTTTTTTAAAGTTTTCATTTAAATTTTTATTAGTTAATATGTTTACAATTGTCTCTATATATTTTATAAAATCGGGGCTCCACTGAAAGTTCCATAGCTGGAAAAAATTTTGAATCGCTGATGTGATGTTTTATTAATCATTGCTTGTATTTGTGATCCTTGATGGTGAATAAAATTTAATTTAATTAATTAAAGAATTTATTTAGTTTGGTCAAATATTATTGGCATATTTCTTTTCTCTGATTATTTAAAATACATATTTAAACACGATCAAATCTTTTTAGATTTTTCTTCTGCAGGTAACCCGTTTAGTAAATTTTCAGTTATATATATATATTTTTTTATTTTTTCAGTTATATTTTAAATAAAAGTTGCATTTTTATTATACTCTTTCTATTTATAAATGTAAATTTATATGTTATGTTCAAATCTGCTGAAAAATATAATTTTTCTAGCACTATGCTGCTCTGAATTTAAAAGTTATTTGCTCCAATTTGTCCCAATAACCAAATTAACATTTTCCAAAACACATTTTTTCTGCCCCAAAATTGTTATGCGCTTCCATCCCTGTTTTTATTTTCTGTCTCGATAGAGTGTTGTTAATAAAGGCAGGATTTAAATTTCTAAATATTTTCAAATTTATAATATTTTCACAGAAAAGCTTATGTGAAAGAGTAAAATTTGCTATTTTATTAAATTTAAGATGGAAAGGATTATTTTTTTAATCATCTTTGAACTAAGATAAATCAGCCATAGTAGGGATCTGTCCAGACCAAATTTACTACCGTTTAGCTGTACCTTCACAAATTCAACTTTGGGAAAAAAGGTAGTTTCACAAAATACTTTTTCTTGACATTTTATTTTTATATCCCGCAAGAAACGATGAATCCATACTTTTACCTTATTTTTGTGTTGATTTTTTAATATAATTTTTAATTTTCACAAATTATGTCTAAATTTTAATAAATTGGTACCTCTCAGAAAAACCTAGACAGACCCCTGCATATGTTAGAAAAACTGTTATGAATCTTAACAAAATTGCATTATTAATTAAATTTCTTTTTAAAGTTTGGAAGTAAGAATTACTACAGTAAAATTGCTTTAAATTTAAAAGCAATTGTATCAGGTATTAAGCAGTTCTCTGGTTCGTTATTATTATTCATTTATTGATTTAGTAATGTACCCATTTTTACAAAATGAACTTCTTCCTATCCAAATTTGATCAAGAGTCTCAGGTTTTTGCACTTTTGATTTTTAGATTATGGGGCTGGACATAGTACTTCGTCCATAACACTGTATCAGTAAATACTTCTCGTGCTGTTAAGAGTACTGTCTCGTGTTCTTATAAGTACTTAAATTAGTTTGTTGGTTTTATAACAATAAGGAAGCATATCTTCCATCCAAATTTTGTGTAGCTCAATGATATTTTTTGCACCAGTCTGTTTAATATTTATGAAGCTGAGCCATGTGATAAATAAGTAAAGAAATTTTTTTTTAATTATTTGGCTAGCTGAATGTATGGCCAGAGTGCTAAATACTAATTTGTAACCAAATATTGGGTACATCTACTAATTATTATGTTTAGGTAAACTTCATTCTTTTAAAATGAGCCATAATAACAATTTTCAAAAGCAAACTTTAAATGCATATGTCTAGTCTTACTTAGACTTCAAAGGGTATTTTTTAAAAGACCAATTCGTAAACTAAGTATTTTACTATTGAAGTTAATAATCAAATTATTCTCCTCTGGTTGTTGATCATCATTGTTTTTTAAAATAATTGTATTTTACCTATTAATCATCATTGTAATCATATCACATTTATTCATATATTCACATTTTATCTTTCTACTTTTAGTATTGTTTATAATTCTATCCTGTTTATTTAGTGTAGTAGTTGTAACTCGTAATTTCAGTTTATATTCGTATTTCAATAATTGAAATATATATACTTCAATGAGGGCCGGAATGTTCNCAGGGGTCTGTCCAGGCCAAATTTACTACAGTTTAGTGGTACCTTCACAAATTCAACTTTAGGAAGAACGGTAGTTTCACAAAAGACTTTTTCTTAAAATTTTATTTTTGTATCCCATAAGAAACGATAAATCCACATTTTTACCATATTTTGGTGTTGATTTTTTAATATAATTTAATATAATGTTCACAATATATGTCTAAATTTTCACAAAATAGGTAACCTCTCAGAAAAATCTAGACAGACTCAGACTCCTGGATATGTTAAAAAAACTGTTATGAATCTTAACGAAATTGCATTATTAATTAAATTTCTTTTTAAAGTTTGGAAGTAAAAAGTACTACAATAAAATTGCTTTAAAATTAAAACCGAAGGTATTAGGTATTAAGCAGTGCTCTGGTTCGTTATTATTTTTCATTAATAGATTTAGTAATGTACCCACTTTTACAAAATGAACTTCTTCCTATCCAAATTTGATCAAGAATCTCAGGTTTTCACACTTTTGATTTTTAGGTTATGGGACTGGATATACTTCGTCCATAACACTGTATCAGTAAATACTTCTCCTGCTGTTAAAAATATAAGTACTTAAATTAGTTTGTTGGTTTTATAATAATAAGAAAGCATATCTTCCATCCAAATTTTGTGTAGCTCAATGATATTTTTGCACCAGTAGTCTGTTTAATATTTATAAAGCTAAGTCATTTGATAGATAAGTAAAGAAAAAAAACTTATTATTTGGCTAGCTGAATGTGTGGCTAGAGGGCTAAATACTGATTTGTAACCAAATATTGGGTACATCTACTAATTATTATGTTTAGGTAAACTTCATTCTTTTAAAATGAGTCATAAAAACAATTTTCAAAAGCAAATTTAAATGCATATGTCCTGTCTTACTTAGATCTTCAAAGGGTATTTTTTAAAAGACCAATTCAGAAACTAAGTATTTTACTATTGAAGTTAATAATCGAATTATTCTCCTTTGGCTATTGATCATCATTGTTTTTTAAAATAATTGTATTTTGCCAATTAATAATCATTGTAATCATATCACATTTATTCATATATTCACATTTTATTTTTCTACTTTAAGTATTGTTTATAATTCTATCCTGTTTGTTTAGTGTAGTAGTTGTAACTCGTAATTTCAGTTTATATTTGTATTTCAATAATTGAAATATATAATGAGGGCCGGAATGTTCGCTCTTAGTTAAAACTTTCATTAGATATTTCAATAATTACAAGAGCTTTTCTCAGCAGAGGGCACTGTTGTTATAATAGGAATATCTAATGAAAGTTCCAAGTAAGGCCGAACTTTATGTTCACATCAAATAGCTTAGACCAATTCTAAGATAAGATTATTTTTTATTGAAGAAATAAAAATAATTTTGTTCAATAAAAAGAAAATGACCAAGAATTTTTTAATAAATTGCTCTGATATTTGTTTTCTCTTCAGTTTCTGTGATTGTATAACTTCTTAAATGAATTAAATTTTTCCTTTTTCAGGTACTGGGGAGTCTGGTAAAAGTACATTCATCAAACAAATGAGAATTATTCATGGACTGGGTTATTCAGATGAAGACAAAAAGGGTTTTATTAAACTTGTGTATCAAAATGTATTTATGGCCATGCAAAGCATGATAAAAGCAATGGATATGCTTAAAATTCCATACAAAGATCCAAAAAATATGGTATTTTTACTCTTTTTTTGAAAAAAAATTTAGTTATGTTTTGTTTATGTTATCTGAATGGCTTTAATCAATTGAAATTGCTAAAAATTATCTTCTGTACTATTATTATAAGTTAATTGTTAATTTTTACTTTAATGGTTTGAAAAGTTGTTTAATCTTGAATATGGCAATAACTCTGGTTAAATTTGCTAAGACTTATTGCCTGGTTCAGGATTATTTCTTTGTATAATGTTTGTTACATTTTTGCACCAGAGATTTAAAGACTTTTTTCAAGACTGATTTTTGATGTGACTAAGGCTTAAGTAGGATAAAATTACTGAAAACGAAGATCTTAATCCAGCATACTTAAAACAATAGTTGCATAGCATGATTATAATACATAAATTAAATTGATTCAATATGCATAAACTGTTACTAAGTTCTACTAGTGTTTTATTGTATTAAATGTTTTAATAGAAACTCAACCTTTGAAAGTCTTTCCTCATAATTATTCTTTTTGCATTTGTGGATATATTTTCTTTTTATAATTTGATTTTAGTAATTTTAGTGGATGTATGTAAATCTTATTAATATGAATATAATATTTTATTATTTAACTAAGTATATGTAACTTTGTGTTTAATTTAACTCAACTGTCACTTTATTTTAATGGCAGAACCTGCATTTTAAATGTATAAAATCATTAAAACTGGATATAATGAAAAAGAAAAGAAAATTAGTGGAAGAGTGCTTTAATAATTGAGGTGGACAGTACTAGGCCTACCTCGAACTATCAAATACTCAAATTATTGATATCATAAAATTTTATAATAATTAGAAATGGCAGAAGTTTTAAATTTCAGTGTAATATATTAAAGAAAAAAAAAATAAAAAAATGATGACCTAGTCACTCAATATATGCGTGTCCATCTCTGTAGTCTGAAAAAATAAAAAGTTTTTAGCAGTCAGGAAAATTTTTTATTATCTACTATGCTATGAAACAAAGTAGTGTACAAGTATTTTGATTTCATGATAATTTATATGAAAATATTGGACAAAATTTTAGATGCGGTGGCACTTGGCATTCGTTGAAATCTTTTACGGCAATTTTTCAAATCTCCAATAAAGATTTCCTTACTTTACGTGACCTATTGAAGCCATTGTAGTTTACTATAATACTTTTTAAAAAAAATAATGTAGCAGTTTGTGAGTGATGACTTGTAACACTTTGATACATAAGCTGTGAGCTGAATTGAAGTTGTGACGTTTAGTATAGTAATTCTTTCACGTGTTATCTAGGTATTTGATTTTCCAGAAACTCAAACAGTTAAGATTTGAATAATCTAGACTTAACTGATGTCATAATTTTCTTTAATACTTCTACTCTATTCTTTATTTGTTATAAAAGTATCAGGTATTTGTAACTCATAATCAGCTGTATCATCTGTTTTAACTGACACCAAAAATTTAGTATTTGTCTTCATTCTGAGTACTTACTACATAGTTAAACATGAATTCACCATTTAAATTTGCCTTTAGAGTTTCTTCGAATTGAAGGCTTTCTTCAAGAAAATAGCTCTTGAATTTAAAGCTTCATCAGGAGATAAAGTTTAGGATTTTTAAGGAGAATATCAGAATCAAATTTGAAAATCTCTGTAAGATAGTAATGTGTTTATAAGAATACTTTTAAAATTTTTTTTCAAAACTTTATAATTTGTTTTTATCTTTATATTGATAAGTTTCAGTATGGATAATTTTTTAAATTATTGCGTAAAAGCAAAATCCATTGAGTTAAAACAAACTACAAAAACTATTGTATGTTTATTTTGTAGCTTTAGTAGATTGTTTTAACTAAATGGTTTTTGTATTATTATTATACAGTTAAATTGAATATTATTTTTCAGGACCATGCTGATCTCGTAAGATTAGTAGATTACGAAACTGTTACTACATTTGAGTACCAATATGTCGTAGCAATTAAATCCTTATGGGCAGATTCTGGTATTCAAGAATGCTATGATCGTCGTAGAGAGTATCAACTTACAGATTCAGCCAAATAGTATGAACAATTATATTTATTTATATTTATTGATTTTTATAAATATTAAGTTTGCAAAATGTTTGTTTTATAGCTATATCCAATGGATTGTGTTTTTAATAGAAATGTCAATGCAAAGTCTCTAAATTTTGCCTACAATACTTTTAGATTCTAAAATTGATAGCTGCTTACCATAGCCTATTCTGCTAGACGATATTGTCAAACAGCAACTTTTGTTTTTAGAAAAAAGGATAAAAGAATATAAGTTTTCAAATCTTCTGTATTTCATAAGATATTAATGTTATTGATTAAATCTTGTGAATTTTGTAGTTACTTTTTCCCCCAGTTATTTATCGATACAGTTTTAAAAAAGGCTGCATGATTATATGCTGAATGGGATGATTATGGCTTTCATGCATAATTAATGATGCAAGAAGTTAAAAGCACATGTTTAGGGCAAATGAGGTGCATTTTCAGAAAAAAAATTACAATTAAACTTTTAATTGCCATTTTTTATGATTATCTGCCCTGTGGCCAGTGGCATCTGTTAATTTTTCTGTATGCTGTATGATGCTATATTTGGGAAGAGATGATTCATTTAGCAATTCTGAGTTAGCTGTTTTTAACTTGTTTACTTTTGGTATGCTGGAAAATTTGTTTTGTTACTACATTTGCATATATGTTGTGATTAAAAATTTTTATGCAAATTAATTAAGCAAGTTTAGAAGAAATTATAATCATAATAATTGTTTTATGACAGTTCGTTGCTAATATTTATTTTATAATTTTGTAACATCTCAAACTACAAGTTAAATAGATATAAAAAACTAGTGCTTACATTTTTCTCACAAAAGAAAGACAAAAAAGAAAAAAAAATTATTCATAACATCTTTTAAATCAGGCCAAATCAAACTGCAGAGTTAAAAGGTGTTCAGCTTAAATATGTATTTGACTATAAAATAATTAGCAATATTTATTGTTGTAGTTAATTTACATCACACTAGAGNTTTCTCACAAAAGAAAGACAAAAAAGAAAAAAAAATTATTTATAACATCTTTTAAATCAGGCCAAATCAAACTGCAGAGTTAAGATGTGTTCAGCTTAAATATGTATTTGACTATAAAATAATTAGCAATATTTATTGTTGTAGTTAATTTACGTCACACTAGAGCTGCACAATGGACTATTGGAGACGGTCTGGGAAACATCCCTGAGGATGATCCGAAGACATGCCATCAAAATTTTGATCCTCTGCGGAGGGGATGGCACCCCCGCTTCGGTAGCCCGACGACCTGCATGCGAAGTCGAGCACTTTACGGTAGAACGGTTTAACGAGGCCCAATACCGCACACCCTCGGTCCCTACGCAGACTAATCCAAGTGGTCACCCAACCGCACACTGACCACAGCCAGTGATGCTTGACTTCGGTGATCTGCTGGGAATGTCTTAACGATCAGTCCACTGCGGGACTAGCAATATTTATACAAATCTTTTTAATACTTGAAAATCTATCTTCTAGAATCTAAAATCATTTGCAGTGGAAAGAAATCTTTTAAAATTTAAAATCTTTACAAAACCTAGTTTTGACACCAGATTTTTTGTCCTACTTATTTTACTTGAAAAGTATGCTATGACAAAAAAAAGGTATTTTCTCAAATGAATTTTATCATTCATTTGAATTCTGCTTCTTTTCAATGCAAATGGAAAAATGATACGAAACTAATGAATTTTTAAAAAGTTTTTAAATGTATTATTTTGGATGGATCACCTTACAAAAATAGTTTTATCATTTGCATTACGCTTAATCTTTGTTTTCGACCAGCTGCAGTAAAGCTTATTTTGAATAAAAATTAAATAAAAATTACTTCTAAAAATACAATACTTATGTTGCATGTTAAGGGAAAAAAATGTCCACTAACAAAAATGTTACTATATCTTTAATTTTTTCCTTTAAAAATGAATGCAAATTATCTTTTAATGAAGCTGAGAAGTATCTATTCTTTCCTGCTTTCTTATATTGTCCTTTGAAGGCCAGTGGCTTAAAAGGATTTCAGTTTTATAAAGCAAATAACTTTGAAATGACATTTCAAATTAATATTATTTTTTTCCCCAATTACTTAAAGAATCATTTCCAACCTCTGGAATGTGACTTTAATCAGGAATATAGTCCTAATAACTTTATTTTCAACTGGCATTATTATTTCCAAATTCTCTGTGTAGTTAAGTATTTCTACAATTCTGCGAGAAAAAATATTTTGGTTGATGAAAAACATGCATTTGAAAGAAGAAAAAAAATTACGTCAGTGTTTACTATACAAAACCATATTTTTAATATAGGTATTGTTCATATATATAAAACTTGTGTTGCAAATTAAAATGATAAAGGTTTAAAAAATTTTAATAAAACTTATTAAATATTATAAGTTTATACTTCAATAATTATTACTTTAAAATTTATTACAGATTTGTTAAATTATTATGTTTTCATTAATATTTGCTAAGAAAATTGTCACTTTTAATATTATTGCTTCACTAAAATGACTAAGCACTTATTTATATACAATATTAAAAATAGTTGTGGCTGTTAAATTAAATATCAAAACTATCTTGTAAGTGATTATTCTTTTCTCTCCTTTAGTTATCTGACTGACCTTGACAGATTGTCACGTCCAGAATATTTACCTACTCAACAAGATATTCTCAGGGTGAGAGTACCAACTACAGGCATTATAGAATATCCATTTGATTTAGATTCTATAATATTCAGGTAAAAGTTATTATTTTAAACAGATTTTTTTTCAAAATTTTATCATAATTTTTTTTTTTTGTGAAATATTTAATTTTTATCATTGTTTTGTTTATCTCAAGTCAAACTTCAAACTATTGTCAAAATCTTTGAAAAATGCAATTAGAAATAATCAGATCAAATTGCAAAGTAATCAATTGCAAAGATTTGTTAAGATAAGAAAAATCTTGTTTTTAATAATTTTCATAAATTGGTCTTTTTGAAAAGGCAAAATAAAGAAAAATATGAATCTATTATTTGCTCTCTAGCCGCCCTCTTATGTATGGAAAAATTTGAGAACAGAATTGAGATTATCCTATTTAGACCTATAGATTGCGATGGTTACTGGTTTCAGAGATTAAGGTTTAAAAATGCAATTAAGGTTTAAAAAAGCAATTGAAAAATATATACTTGATTGATAGATTGCTATTGCTATATAGAACTGGCAAATATAATCACAATGAAGCTTAGTTCTGTTTATTTGCATAATTTGACAATTGATATTTTGAATGACTTTGTTTTCAATATACTATCACATTTCAAAAAGAAGTTTTTTAAACCAATGTCAAGAACTGGTGTATGGTGCTTTAATCACTGTTTCATTTAACATGATTAATATTGAACTTTTATTCAAAACTGGGCATGCAAGATTAATATTCAGATTTATTAGTTTGAGAAACTTTCTCAAAATCTTTTTTTTTTTTGTGACCCGCGAACTAAAATATATTAGTTGTCATTTTTTGTGGACTATTTTCGTAAAAATCTATATGAGTTTTAAATACTTTTAAGCTTTATATAAGTTTGTAATTGTTTTATATAAGTTGCAAACTTATAAGCATATAAGTTTAACAATTTGATGTCTATTGCGTATTAAATGTTTAATACATAGGCAGTGTTTTCACTACAGCACAAGAACGCGGGAATCTCGCATATTTTTTTCTTTTCTCGCATTAAAAAATGATTACCGTGAAAAATTAGCGCATTCTATAAATCAATTTCTAAATTCGTGAATTTCTCGCATTTTGGAAAAAGCTTCAAATTACGCCATTTAGAATAAAATCTGTTTCACTTTTCTTCCTGGATCTTTCATTATTTTTAACATCTGCCCCATTATCTAGCTTCCCTATTCACCAGTACTGTTCAGAACCTTTTCGAACAACAGAACACAACAACGGAACCCCTTTCAGAACACATTTCTCTGCAACCACGTGTTTACCGTAGGTAAGATTTCTAGACGTTCAAATTGTTAGACGTTCAAATTTTCACTTATGTAAGATGGACAACACTTATGTAAGATGGATTTTTCACTTATGTAAGATGGACAAATATATTGTAAAGTCAAAATCTTCTATGATGATGCACAAAAAATATTCAATGCTTTAAAAAATAGAAGACGTTAAAAATGTATTATAATTAAAGAAATGATTTTTTTTTCAAGAGTTTTTGTGTTTTTTTAGTTTTTAGAAATCTCACCCTGTTTTTGAGAAAGGATGAGAAATTCTCACCCATTTTTTATCTATGTTGAAAACACTGATAGGTGCACATTAAAGTTATTGCAGCCAGAATTTTTTAATATGCAATTAAATATTTTTAAAAATCTACTTATTTTAATTTGCAATTCAATACTTTTGAGTTTTGTTTTGTAGAACTTGATAAAAGCCTGACAGTAATATTTTATGTTCCTTCAAACATAAAAGAGTCCTATATAAAATTTTGATAAAGTTGCTGCCCACCATTTGACTGGTGTTTTTAATTGTGGCCCCGGGCTCATGTAAGTTGGAAACCCCTGTTCTAGAAGGACCTTACATAAAAACTTTTTCAAACAAACTGAGAGACAGCATTCTAGTTAAGTCTTGGCCTTTTAACCGCCAAGATTCGCCCTCATCGCCCAATTACGAACTACTGAGCATGTTGCTTAAAATATGTATAAAATGCATAAAATATGTTGCAAGTAGGTGATGAGTTGATTACTTACTGGTTTCTGCATTGAGGAAAATATTGTATCACGAGGGGGTTCGTTTCTACTCCTGATGATATACATATATATACAGCAAAGCTTTAGAAATGTGTATTAATTACTTAATTTGCTTTGTATATGTTTTTTTTTATAGTTTATATTATAAAGTTAAAAGAAAATCATGATCCTTTGTTCAGGAGTTAACTGATAATATTTAAATGAGAAATTTACTAATTGTAGATTTGTGCTTTTTCCTTTAGAATGGTTGATGTTGGTGGGCAAAGATCAGAAAGAAGAAAATGGATTCATTGTTTTGAAAATGTGACATCCATAATCTTTTTAGTTGCTCTAAGTGAATATGACCAAATTCTGTTCGAATCAGATAATGAAGTAATTATTTTTTTATTTTTGGTTTTTAATTTTTTCTTTACAATTTGACTCATTAATATTTGATTTTCAGTATGTGTTAACTTAGTTTATTTAATGTTCGTCTGAATCATGCTCAAATGTATTTGAGAAAAATAGTACATTTTATGAAAGATTATAAAAGATAATGTATCATATCTTTTATATTATCAAGTATACTTAACCATAAGCAGAAGTAATATTTTGCAATGTATTTGTTTGTATATTTCAATATACTGAAATTTTATGAATGTGTTTTTTAAAACTGACTGAAACATTTTAAATTTTATTCTACTATTATTGTCATATTTCCATTTTCGTAATCTAAGTATTCATATTTTATTTTTTACAAAATAATTTGGCTTGTAGCTTTAAGCATATACTTGTTGTTTAATGTTTTAAAATTTGAATATTTAGCTTATGATTTTAATTTTTTAACACACATCAAGCTCTTAAGAATATTGCATTTTTATATTGGAGTCTTCTATTATTATTTGTATTTTTTAATGGCAGAAAGTTTATATGTAGTTGAAAGTCAAGGTTGGAACAGCTGGAACTGTTCCAAAACAAAATTTCTGCTACCAGCTACTTCGAAATATTTCTTTTTTCTCAATATTATGTCAAGCTGCAATTAAAATCTAATAATATTTAAAAAGCAAAAATATCAAATTTAGTCCAGTTATGTGTCAAATTTTAATACAAAGATCAGTCATTGTTCCAAAACAGCAGACAATTTACATTTTTTCTTGATTGTCAATAAATATACTCGCCTGGCAAACAAGTGAAGTTGGTTCCTTCCTCCGAATTAAGCGTGTTAAAAAGTGATTCAAAATTCGCTTGTCTAGGAAATTCACTTGCCATAATAAAAAATGGCATATAAATTCACTTGCCATATTCTAATTGCAAAATCTATTTGGAAAGTGAGAAAAAAAAATCATTATACTTTGTATTTATTATAGAATCAACACAAATAGAGCTGCCCAAAAAGTAAATCACTTTTTTGGAAGCTATTACTGTTTTCAACATGGCTTTTAAAATCTTGATTTTAATACATTATTATTACAATACACTAAGTTTTCAAAGTAGGAGGATTTTGAACTAATGTGCATAAGAGCTTTGAATATTATGGGTTGCTAAAGAACCACTCCTCCTTTATGTTAAATACAATGTCTTTCTTGAGGATATGCTGCCATATTCTATTTTCTTGCATTCTGCTCTTTAAGGTATAGAATGAACTTAAGGCAATAATGTGACTTGCAGTGCTGAGGTTGTATGATGAAAAGATAGTCATATGACAAACGTAATTTATTTGATGTGAGAAAGTTATGTTTGATTTGATTAGATGAGTCCTTAAAAAAAGCTCTTTTTATATCTTTAAGGGTCTAAAAGGGCCAAGTTTAAGATTGGCATAAAGCTTTCAGAAATCTGCCACACTGCACCTAAAAATTTCCTTTTCATCAAATATAATAATATAATAGTGATATAATAGTTAATTTAACCAAAGTTGTGCCAGAAAAAAAATTATACCTGAAGCAATAAATTTATGAAACTTTCTATCAAACAGGTTAAATTAAATGTGTAATTTTATTGTAAGGAAATATATATCTATATCTTATAGCATGAAAATAGCATAAAGCAGTGTAATTTGAATTTTCATGAGACTATAAATATATAATTTAGCCATTGAGCAATAAATTTATTTTAATGTCACATTTTCTGCATCTCAAAATGTATTGCAATACCGCTTTAATGAATGTTTGTTTGAACCCTGGTTTTGTTAATAGTAATATTTAGCCCGCCGGCAAACTTAGCTACTGACTTCAAAAAGGAAATCAAAACCTGCTCTTTTTGTGAACAAATAAAGATATATAGATATATTTTTTAAATAGTTGAAACAAAGGATAGACATTTATTTTAATTTACTTATTTGATTAGTTTGATATTGATTTATTTGATATTTATTTGATGCGTTTGTGTTAATATTGTGATAATTTGAATTATTAATATTGTAATAAACCTAATTTTTCCTTGCAGTATTAAATAATTTGATATATATTACACAAGATAAAAATAAATAATTTAGTTTTGATGTTTGTAAAATGAGTAATCAGCAGAATTTCATTTTTATTGATCTTTCTTTATGAGAAAATTTACTTCAATTAATAAATTATTGTAAAACTTTTTGTCTACTTTACTGTCTTATAGATGCTGGAGAATGTTAAGTTATCAACTTTGAATGCTTTGTCCATAATTTATTTTGTGTTTGATTTTTTTCTACTTATATTCTGACCATATCTTAATTGATTTAAAAAGTTGTAGTTACAAATTAATAATGTGTCGCATCATTGTAAATATCTTTGTTTTGCATACTCATTCAGTTTTCTTGCTATAAAACAGCTATAATTTTCTTTATCAAATGTAGCCACCTACAATTTGAATTCAGCAATAAATTTTGCATAATGCTCATCCATATTTTTTAATGAAAGAAATGAACAATATAGCATTTGATCATGTCGTTTGTGTGCATCATGCAAAATATTAATAATATGTCCAATAACCAGTCCTATTTTTGACATTCTATTCTTAAAATACGTAAACTCTTTTCCTTCCTCACACATAATTTCATCTTGAAAAAGTTCTATAATAATGTGTGTTTTCATATACGTGTTAACATGGAGCACACACTCATGACAAAGATTATACACTCATATATTGTCATGAATATGTTACCATCAATACTTTTTATCAGCTTTAAATGTAATTCTTCATTTGTCTTTATCCTTGAGTCGTCAAAATCATTATTGTTGATTATTATTTGAGAAAAAAGATAACATATTCAAAAATTACATTTTGAAGTATTTTATAATGATTTTTCAAATTTTTTTTTTATTTCCTAAAATGGTGACGAAAAATGATATCATTAAAAATCTTCCATCATAAGCTTTTTCAAATGTGTAAAAACTGATCAAAAACAGCTTTACATTTATGGATTGTTAACAAGCTATACTATCTGTTGATTCCCTGATAAGCTATACTATCTGTTTAAAGCTACAAGCTATACTATTTGTTTAAATCAAGAACATACTTTCATAATAATTAGTACTTTATTTAAGGTATATATTAGATGTCATGTAAGGAATATATAGCATATTTAATAGTTTTTTCGTCTTTTAGCAATTTGATAGATTTTTTGACACCTAAAGAAGAATTATTTGCAAGAAAAACAAATTTTTTTTTGCTGCCAATTTGTCTTATGTCTAAAAATAATAGATTTTTATCCTTTTCTGTTTTTTTTAAAAGAAAAAAAAACTTTAAAATTATTGAAACCATAAAAGTTTAAAGTTTGTTCTTCAGCTTTTTTCAAAGAAATTAATTTTCTACATATCCAAAAAGATCATAAAATATTTGAATCTTTTTCTGTTTGTGAGAGATAATATGAAACTATATGGAGATATTTTCTTTTAATGGTTCGCTTTCATTAAAAGAAAAATAGCATATTTTAATTAGAATGTTGGAGTAGTGATAGTTTGTGGGGTAGTTGTAATTTTTATAATTGTATATCATGATATTTGTTATAAGATTAATAATTCCTATTTTAATCTTACATTTACTGAAATAAATTTGAGAAGATTTTTGTCTGTATACTGTATAATGGTTCTTTTCTAATAGTTAAAAATTCAGAAACAATTTTTTTAATTAAAAGGATATTTCACAAAAGGGGAGTTAAATAAATAAAAACGAAACATAATAAACATTTAAAGATGTATGAAAATATACACAAATATAAACTGAAATGCCTTAACTTCCATGACTCCCCTGGCACATAGCCGGCTGTTGTAGGAATACTTTACTTATAAACTGATAAGAACTCTGTCTTAAAGAAATTTCTGGCTATAAGCCTTGATTTTTTTTCTCCGTATCTTCTAGACTTATATGCTGCTAAATGTATAACTATCTGAAATATAAATTTTATATCCTAAATAACATATTAATAATTTGAGCTGTCCTTGCAAGTTAAGAATATTTTAATATTAATGATTATTTCAAATGTCATAAAACACCATACCCAAAGCTACAAATTTTGGGAAGAGTTTCCCAAAACGTTTTAACTAAAATTTTCTGTATATGGCAGTTTTAAAAGTTTTAATAAATATCCATTGTGTTTCTCATTAGTTTAAATTTTTCAATCAATTTTAATATATATTTATTTATGTTTAATAAAAAATGATGTTGAAGAAATGAAGTAATTTTGTTTTTAATTTAGTCTTTTTTAGTTAATTTAGCCATTACTGTTTGACTCATTCTGATTGTTTTAATATGCTGTGTATATTTAACCTGTTGCTATTTATTTTTTAAATTCATTATTTAAAATTTTATTCTATATTTAAGGAAAATAAATTCTAAGTTTATTTTCATTTCTTTTTAGAATCGGATGGAAGAAAGTAAAGCATTGTTTAAAACAATTATCACATATCCATGGTTTCAAAACTCCTCTGTTATTTTATTTCTCAATAAAAAAGATCTACTTGAAGAAAAAATTATGTACTCGCATTTAGTTGATTATTTCCCCGAATATGATGGTGAGTAAAACTCTGATCATAAAATGAAACTTTTTTTTATATGTAATCTTTCCTTGTTAAATTCTACTAATTCACTATACCTAAGTGCTTATTTTTATCTATTTCTTTGCTTAGTGCTTTAAGAAAGAAAAGAATATGCCTTATAGTTATATGCCTTAATAGTTTTTGTATGAATAATTACATACCTACTAAGATATAATCTTTATGATTTTAGGAGCAAACCTATTAATTAATTAGTGCAAATAATAATTTAATTAATGAAATAAGATGCAGAAACCTAATTTTTCTGTCTAGACATGCTTTTTTTCATCGATGAATTTAGATTTCTTTACTCATAAGACATGAGGTTGTTCATTATCTAGTATAAAATGGCATGTATATGAAAAGAATTCATTTTCTTAAAAAAATATTATTTGAATTTTTTCATTTTTTATTTCTTATATATAAATTGAATTTTCATTTGTTTTAAGTTTACTTAATGAATATCAAATGTTTATTGGACATAATTTATGCAAATTTAAGTTTACAATAGTATGTAGTAATTATTTTTCACTTGTAGTAGAAAGGGAAAAATTGATGCACTGTTTTTATGCTCTTTTTGCATCAATTCTGTAAAAATTTTTAAAACAAAAAAGAAGCTCAATGATATTTACAAGGTGTTAATATATTAACATGAGCTCAAAGAATTTCTAACTAAATTCATAGCATTATCAATTTAATGATCTAAAAATAATACAATAATGACTGTCAGTATTATGTTATTTTTAGAACTTGCTGATATAAAAACAGATTATCTTTTGTTCTATTGTATTCTGCCAATAAATGAAAATTAATGACATAAAAAAAGTACAATTGCTTATTCATTTTCTTGCATTGTTAAATATATTTTGTTTTATAATTTTCTTTATTGAGATTTTCTATTTTTATTAAAATAACTGTTTTGTATGCTACTTAATTATTAATGAATTGCAAAAGGTGGGGTGTTTTTTGAAATCGTCATGAACTTTTTCAGAATACTTGATTCGTTTTCTGATATTTATTAAACTTAGTTATTTTTTTAAATATAATTAACTATTTTTTGTGTTTATATTATGTTTGATATCATATATTAAATTTTTCGAATTGACCAAATTTATTCCTATATTTTGATATCTGGACTCGTTTTAGCAATCAAAATAAATAAATAATTCTTTTTCCCCCAAAAAATATTATTTTACATTTGTGATCTTCTACAAAATCTTATGTGCCTAATAAATAATTTAATCTATTATCTAAAAAAAATCATTTTTTCGAACTTGCCAAAGGTTGGACAATTCCTACAGGATTTTCTATTGTATTCTAAAAACAATGCAATGATGTTTGGTTTATTTTAGAATTCAGCTTCTATGTTGTTATTAGGAAACTATTTGTACAACTTGTGATCATAGGGTTATTAGTTAAATCAATTTTATCCAATAAGAAGGAGAATAGAGATAGAAAACAACAGAAAAAAACATTCTCATTTCCTGGAGAATATTAATCATGCATATCGCACATTTTCAGTCCTCGAAAAGCTTTGGGTTAATTTGATCTAGTTTTTAGTTTTAGGTATAAATGTTAAAAAATTAAACAATGATAATAGACAATGGCTCAAAGCATTCTTCAAATTATTACAGAATTAATGAAAGTTAAAAAAATATTTGTTGCTTGCTTGTAACCTTTTGAGAAAATCCATAGAGCTGTAATACAAATTAAGCAACCTGTTATATTTCCCCATCCTTCTTCGCCATAAATATCAGAATAACTTTGGTCACGTGCTACCTCTCTTTTGGCAATTTTGGCGAAGAAAGAAGGGAGTAGTGTGACAATGTAGATGAGGTCTCTTTTTGGTAAATGCATGTTTTGTACTTATAAAGACAATGGAAAGTTAAAAGGTTAAAAGCTTTAGGAATGGAACTATAAAATATTTTATCATTTTTTTGACAAGGCTTTGTTAGAATAAAAATCTATTTGAATTCTAATTTTTTACTGTGTGTAAACTCTCCAAAATTGGCTTTCATTCAGATTTGTCAAAAAATCTTATTTCATTCAGATTTGTCTTTCCAAAAAATTCATCATTCTTCTCTTAATGATTTGATTTAAAAACAATTGAAATAAAAAATTAAATTATCTCAGATTTGTTAAATATTATATGTGTAGGGACTTAAAAATTTACTTATGACAAAAATGTTTAGCTTAAATACTTATTGTATTTACATTTCAAAATTATTTAAATTTTTTTTAATATCATTTCATTAAAGAAATACTTAAACAAGTAACAAATTTTAATAAAAATCTATTAGTAGCCATTCATTAATTTACATTGGTAATGTGAATTTAAAAGTTTTCCCAGTTTACTTAGTTCTTTACAAATCTTTATAAATTCTGTATGAACAATTAATATTAATCTTGTTGATGTTTTGTTGAATATGCTTTTACAAATAACTTTTACTTATTTAAATCTAAAAAACACTCAATAACCTATATTAAATAATAGTTGACAGGGGTCTGTCCATGCCGAATTTACTACCGTTTAGCGCTACCTTCACAAATTCAACTTTAGGAAAAATGGTAGTTTCATAAATTCAATTTTAGGAAAAACGGTAGTTTCACAAAATACTTTTTCTTAAAATTTTATTTTTGTATCTCTTAAGAAACGATAAATCCATATTTTTGTGTTGATTTTTAAATATAATTTTTAATTTTTCCCAAATTATGTCTAAATTTTCACAAAATAGGTACCTCTCAGAAAAACTTGGACAGACCCCTGGTTGAATTTAAATTTTTTAATATAGTTAAAGTAATTATTAATTTAAAAAATAGAATTAGTCACTTAATATTGAAAGCGTTTAAAATTGTGTATAAATTGTTTTTACAGTGGCTAATATAATCAAGAAAAGACTTCTTTGTCAGAAACTAGTTATTTTATCATGATCATGTGAAAACTTTGAAAATTATTTTTGCGTTTTGTTGATATATATATGAAGAACTTTTAATAATAGGAAGAAGTATTTGTTATTAGTGTGCATATCCTAATTATATCTTTTTAATGTGCTTAAATATATTTTTGATTGCTTAAAAAGTGCTTATTAATTGTTGAAAAATTTAGCTATGCACCCTGATTAATAATGAATAATTCTATGTAATCATTATTTTATAGTTAAATTGTGTTTTTACTCATTTATTTTTACTTGTGAGAAGGTTTTGAAAGTAGAAATTTGTTTTTTAGGTTGAATAAAATGGTTTAATATGATGTTTTAAGGAATGAAAAAACATTCTAAAAGTTCAATTTTATGATAAATAATGGAATTGCAATTTCAAAAAGTGATAAATTAAGGCACATATAAAATTTATAAGGCTCCTTAGCAAATTTTCTGTTCAACCTATCACTATACTGTAAACTACCTTATTTTAATATTTTTGACTTTAAAATTCCCGCGACGATTTTTCTCCAGGAAATTCTTTTCTAAATTTTGATTACAATAATACATAAAAAAAATTTAGGAGGAACTAAAGATAGAAAATTTCTCTCTTTATTCACCCTCCAGTAACGTAGTTTCATTCTGAGGACAAAAATTATTTTGATGTGCACGCTCTATTTCCATTTCATTTCACGCCATTGTTATGACTCATTTAACAGTTATAGTGTTAAGTGAAGAACTTTTCATTTCATCAATTTATTTGAGTAAAAGTTTTTTAAAATGTATAATGATGTCTGTACTAAGTTAGCACTTCATCAGCAATAATAAATTATATAATTATTGATTTTTATGTTTTAATGCCTTAAAGCAGAGTTCTTTTGAAAGTGCTTATTCACTTGTTTTACGGAAATGGTGCTTTTTAAATGTTAATTATAAAAGAAGAAATATTAAACAAGCGTTTTTCAAACTAGCTTTTCTTAAATTTCTATTTATCTGAAATTATAATACTGAGTAAACCTTAAAACAGAACTTTTCATAGATAAATTTTCCAAAAACTAGTTATCAAAATTCTTATTTTTTTCATAAGAATGTATTTTATTATTAAAAATATCTAATTCAGACAAATATAGGAATATGTATTGAATAATTAGTTTGTGATATAAACTATGTAATTATTTTGTTTTAAAATATTATGACAGTATAATTCATTAAGTTATTTTGTATTTTTTTAAATATTTCAATATAAATTCTTCATTTGTTTGATTTCTTTTTCTATTTTCAGGACCAAAGAAAGATGCCATTCATGCTAGAGAATTTATATTAAAAATGTTTGTTGATTTAAATCCAGATAGTGAAAAAATTATATATTCACACTTTACTTGTGCTACAGGTAATTTAAAGCTTTAATTTTTGAAAACAGTTTTCTTAAAGAGAATGCTCATAAGTCACACAATGTGATTCAAATAGTTAAGCAGTTTGTTGGAATATCACACTGAATTATAGTAGAGAGAGTTTTTATTGAGCTATTAAAAAAAAATTCCTTGAAAAAGCTAGAATGACTTTTTCAGCCATAGCTACCTTTCTAATGTGTTTTTTCTTTTTCTGAAGAATATATAAATTTATTAAAGGGTGGTTTTTTAGTTCGACATTTACTAGAATTGTATTAACTGTCTTCAGTTTTGTGAATACGCTTTTCTTTGCTAAAAAGCAATTAGTTTGCTTAATCTGATTGTATATACAGTGGAACCCCGATTGTACGTTTTCACTTGGATAAACATTAAAAGTGCATAGGAAATGTAAAATCAGGGTAAAAGAATTTAAACTTATTTTTCAAACAATTTCGCTTATGAGATGAACTAATTAAAAACTTGCTTGATAATTGTTTTAATAACATTTGACACCAAAAAAAGAAAAAATATTTTTTAAAAATATTTTATTTCTTTGCTTAACATACCGTTAGGATCATTTTACATGTTAATTTTAACTTTTCGCTATTATCTATCATGTTTACAGTTATAACTTTGCAAGCATTTTAGATCAAGGTATATGAGGTTTGCAATTAGAAGGCGATCTTATCATTATAATGATAACATCTTTTTATTGTGTTACCTATTTGAATTAAGTGCCATTTATTCGCAAAATCTCGCAGAGAACTAAAAAAAGTTTTCTTTTATGTCATACCAAACAGCAAGCCTCGTTAACATTGCTTACGTTCTTCATAATTAACAGACTTGAATGCATTTTGTAAAGTTTCGCCTTAAAGTGTGATTATTGAAATTGTTCTACTTTAATGATTGTTTTGTTAATTGTTTGATTATTTGTTATTTGAATTTTCTATATTCCCCATTTCTTATTAATATCATTGATTTATGTTTTAAGTTTGTAAGCATGATTAAATACTTTTCTAGAGGAAAATTTTGTTGTTATATAGTACGAGAATAGAGTACAGTCAAACTTGCATCATATGAGATTATAATTTTAATTAACATATTAAAACGTTTAGATAAAATATACCAACACTCATTTATCAGTGTTCCCATGGTACTTGAAAAACCTTGAAAGTCCTGGAATTTTGTGGAAAAAAATCAGGGTCCTGAAAAGTCCTCGAATTCTGCCATAAGGTACTTGAAAAGTACTTGATTTTTTGTGGAATTAAAATAATTCTAATCTTTCTTACAAAAAAGCAGTAAAAAAATAATTAATAAGTTCAAACAAAAAGTGAAGAAATTCTGGCAGATGCAATTTTTAATGCTTGAAGTGAAAAGGGGTTAAAGAAGATACAAAATTTTTCTCTCTTAGATTTTTTACTCTAGATTATTGTTCATCTCTGATGTTTTAAAGCTGAAATTTTACACATTTTAGTTTTTGGAGTCATAGTTTCTGAATGATAACTAGTGATTCATCAATTTAGAATTATGTTCAATGTGTTAACTACATTATTATGACAGGTTTATGTTGTTATCCTATTTGAATCAAGAAATTATTCTCAAATAATATCCTGCTCAATGCTCACAATAGTTTGTTAATTTTCTTTTTGGTGTACATTTGCAAATGTTGTACTGAGTTTTTATACTTTAAAACTCTTGACAAGTTGTGGGTGTATCCTCCAATATTTCTTATTCATCCTCATTCTCTTCATCAGTAGCATCAGAAGCAGGCATTAAATCAAGTATTATTAAAGGAATTGAAAAATGATTGAATGCATGCTCAGATTTCTGAAAGATCTTCAGGCACATTAATTTATTCCAAAGTGCTGATGTTCCTTTTGAATACCAACGTGCCTGCTTTTTTAAACCTAAATAAAAATATGTTTCAGTCGACGCAGTCCATCTCTGTAGAAATCACATTCCGAACTTCCGGAAAATTTACTTTTGCTCTCGAAGCATCAGGCAACTCACCAAAATCAAGAAAAAGAAATGATTTAATAAACAATTGTTTATTGTAACAGTTTTTAAATGAGCTGATTATTCAAAATTCATTCAATTCTACCTGCAATTTTAATTATTTAGGCTTCCGTACTTCTTTTAATTAAGATCCTGTGCTCTGTCTATCTCACCACTACCCTTCTGATTTTGACTCGGGAGAAATCCTCTCTCATAGACAAAAGGACAATAAGATGTACAATAAAAAAAAATTTCAGGTTAGAAAAAAAGATCTCGGAAAACGTTTGTGTGAATTTTGCAGCGAAACAGTGATTTTGATCAATTAAAAATACATATAAAGTGGAATTTTTTTTAAAGAGTAATGTGAAATCTATGATATTTTAAACATTATTCCTATTGGCAATTTTTATGAACCTGAAAAAAAAAATGGTGTAACAGGTTAGATAACATATGAAATGAACTACGTAAAGCTGGTCTACCACTGTATAAATAAAATAGAATATTTAAAAATAACTGGTTTATACTTTTTAATCATATATATAATTAAACAGACTAATAGTGAAGCATTTTTGTAATTGCTTTCATAATTTTACTAATTGCTTTCAATGTTTTGAATTAAATATTAATAGCAATCTGATTTTAGCATTAAAAATGAAAATTTGTTTATTTCATATTATTTTTCAAATTTTATTAATTATTTTTCATACATAATAAGAATTTTTTTTTAATATGAAAATGTTTACTATGTCTTTCATTTTGAAAATTTTAAAGCTTTAAATAACTATTGAAAAAAATAAATAAATATCTGATCATTTTCTATCTTAACATTTTTATTGTGAAATAGTTTTTCTTGATTTTTTTATTGTTCCTTTACAGATACAGAGAATATTAGGTTTGTTTTTGCTGCTGTGAAAGACTTCATCCTACAACTTAATTTAAAAGAGTACAATCTGGTGTAAATCTCCAATTCCGGTTTTTCATCAGTGGCTTAAAAATGTTTTTGCTGTTAAAAATAAAATTCCCTTGTCCTCTCTGGAGTGTTTAAAAAGAAGTCCTCCAGTATGTGAAAGGGCAAGGAACTGAAAGAGGATCTATGTTTAGAACACGTAAAGAAACAAAAAGCTTGTAATTCTCCTCAGTGATCTTTTTTAAAAAATCACTCACACTTCTGTGTCATTGTGCAGTTTACATTGCACATGCACTTGTAAAACCTTCAGTTCACATTGCACAGTATTTTCTATATTTGAGAGAATGAGAAATGTAACACTCATTCTATCGTGGTGGTTTAAAAATAAAGAAACACCACCATTTTCTCATTGTTAGCATAAAAAACAACAAAAAATACAAACTTTTTATCAGTCATTGAGTGTAAATTTTTCACATCTCTGTGCTTTATGTGAAAATATCTGAGAAAACACTAATAACTTTGGCATAGGCGAGGTGCCAAAATTTGAGTTTGGTTAAGAAGCTAAATATCAAATCAATGTGAAAAGCGTGTGATTTTTATGTATGTAAAGCCATCTTTATAAATATGCATTCTATGTTAAATTATCTTTCAATACATTATATAATGTGAATGCCAAAGAAAAGGCAAATTGTTGAAACTAGTGTTTTAATAAAATATCCCCCTTTTTTACATTCTTATATATTTTTTAAGGGCACATATTTTCTTATTCATTTTTCGATTGAAGGACTCAGAGCTTTTAATTTAGGACAAAATATATTAAAATTTTTTGTTCATACACTTGCTTTTTAGCATTTTCTTTTCCATAAATGTTTAGCTTATGACAAGTCACAGGCCCAATACTTTTTTTTTTTTTTTAACTAGTCAGAGATTGTAAATATGTTCTAATGTAGTATTGCCTGATGAGCTTGTTTTTAAGATCTAAAATGGTATTATTTTATTTGTGCCAACTGAATGAAATTCATTTTAAAAATAATTAAAATAGCTACATTTTTAGCTTGCCATTGATGTAGCCAAAAGTTTTTATCTCTCGATTTGTTGTTCATTTGTATAGAATTTGTTTTATTCTTATTTTGTTTATATGCTGTTGTATATTTTATTGTCTCTGCTCTTTCTGTACTTTTTTACTTACCTTATTTTTATACACATTTATAAAAATGATCAAATCCATGTTACATACTAAAAAATTTTGCACTCCAATAATTTTTCTATAAAAAAACATTTGCTTTTGTTGCAGTGATAAATTATTTTTAGCAATCAATTATTGAATAAATTTTAGGTACTTAAATTATTTTTAGCATGATTTTTAGGGTGCTTTTTCTTACCTCAGGGTCATAAATCTAAATTTAAAATTTCACTTGCTCTTAGAACATGCAATTTTTCCTTTTTTTGTTGTGTAGATCATTGTGATACATCCTCTTTTAAGGAAGAAAAAAACTAAATAATCAAATGTACTGGTGAACTTTTGAATTTCATATTATTTTACAGTGTGTTTCAAAAGTGACTCAACCCATTAGCCATCAAAACTTCAATGTGCTTTTTATCTGTCAATGTACACTTATAAGCCTTTTGGGGGTTAATTTTAGATGATTGATGATTTCGAAGTTTAGGCAAACAACTTGGTCTTTTTTATTATGGTTTTTGCATTTATTGTTCATTCTTGTGCTCAATTTTTATTATCTTTTGTCAATTGTGCTGTTTTTTTTTTATAAATTGGATGTATATTTATTATTGATTTTTTTTCTCCATCCTTAAGATCACCAGATCTGATTAAAAGCATTTTGGATGGAACTGATATAAAGAATCGATTATTTGAATTCTGATGCACATTAACGCTCCTCAATTTTGTGACCAAACAGCATAATGTTGGCAATGCATTGCCCAATAGCCAATTTTATTTCTAAGGCTAGCTAGTAACCATACTTCTGCATGGGTAGGTTTGAAGCCACCACTGGGTATTCAACCCTGGTCCTTCACAATTATCTTGCTTTACCGCACTATAAAATCAAAGATACGTAAATTTTTAAAAACTAATATTATTTGTGAAATACTTACAGTGGGTTGCGTCATTTATGAAATTCTCTGTATTAGAAAGTGATATGCATGTGCAGCTCATTGATGTCCTCTGTTTTCTTTTATTCTTTTTACAAAATAATTTACTTGTTGTTGAATGTTAACAAAAGATGAATTTGGTTATAGTGTCTTTGCATTAGGAAGATGTGTGTGTGGAACCTGCATGAAAGCCAAAGACTTATCAAATGCACATGTCAGTACTAAATTTCATATCACAAAAAAAAAATTAATTTGTGATGTGTTAAGCAAGTGCAACACGCTGTGCTAAACTACTGCCCATAATTTTTTTACTCTCTCATATTCTGGGTGCTAAGCACTTAGCAGCAGTGAAAAGCCAATAGTATCATTTTTCTTGGTCTAAGGGACAGTACTAAAAACTGTGTTTGAAACGCAACATGTTATTATTTATAAAAAAATAAAACTCATCTTTGAATATAGATATATTTATCTTCCCCTATTTAATTGTGTATAGTGTATATTTTGTATTGCTAAAAAAATGCAACATTTTACTTAAAAAGAATGGTAAAATTTCCATCTATACAAGTACTGAGTCCCAAGTTTATTTCTTAAACTAAATGTTAGAAAGTTTCAAATATTTCTGTGAAATATATGCTTTTTACTTGACTAAAGCAACTGTTGTTTACATAAATGCTTGTTTTGTTATTAATGATTTATTTAAAGATAGTTTACAACAGTTTGTAAGTCATCATTCTCTTAGCCTGTTTTACAGAAAAATTAAATAAAATAATAATAAAAATCATTTAGTAATTTTTTTTATGATTTATGAAGCAGTGTTACATATAACTTAATGCAGTAGAGATTTATAATAACAATTCCACAATTTGCATAAAAAAAAGCAAAATTTTACTTTTTTGGGGGGTTTTACAATAAAAGTTTACATTACTTCTGCTGATATCACTTCAGGTACCTACCTATTAGTTACACATCAATAAGCTGATCAAGTAAGATGTTATCCTGCACCCTTTTAGTATATTGACATTATTATTTTTAAAATTGCATTATTAGATGTGCCACTTTCTGCTATTTACTGATATTATATTTTCTGATATTATATTTTTGCCTGATGTCGGCTAAAAGACTTGATTAACAGTTTCGGAAAATTAGATATATCAAGTTTTGGGATAATCTACTAATTATAAAAAAAGTGATTGAAATGATATATTCTAGCCAATTTTTATTTTCCGAGTGTTTAAATAATGAGTAATAACTCTTCTGAGAGCAGCTAAAGCGGTCATTGCCTGATAAATTAGATCCACACCTACCCATCAGCCTCAAATGATGAGAGAGAAGTTATTAAGAGAAAAACTAGATTAATTAAATTTCTTATTATCAATTGATATCAACTGTTAAATATTTCCTCATTTTAATGAATTTTTTTTATTTTTTTTTTTTATTTTAAAAATTTTATCCTTTTTTGCTACAATATACTTATAGTTTCCAATTTTTAAGTCAATCTATAAAAATCCTCTGGTTTAGTTTTTATGTCAAAGTGAGCATAATTTTGGGTAAAGGAGATAAAATTTAAAGTTTTGTGGTGTTTTTTTTTATTTACCAACATTTTTATCATTCCTTTTCTTAAAAAAAACATAAATGAACAAAAAGGAAATAAATTGTGAAAATTTTTACATGATAAATCATTCATGATTTTATGTGTTAAAAATAGGGATCATATACTTAATTATTATTTTTTAAAAGATGAAATCAATTCTTGCATCATGAAGATTCGTTTCAACTTTTGTACAGTTTAATAATTTTAATCCAATTATTTTCAAACTCAATCAATCCACTCAACAGTCTTAAATTTTCTAAATGTTTATTTGGATTCAAAATTATGGAACACTTAAATTAATAATAGTTCTGATTATCAAATAATGAACCAAATGACCATCTTGACCATATTAAATCTTCAAATTGGCTCTTTGTAGAAAATGGTTTCAATTGAGAGTTCAAAGACAACTTACAGAAGAGAAACAAGTTTAAATTATTGAATAGTTTTTAAAAAAAAATATTTTTTGGTTTAATTCATATTTTTTATTTAATTTATATTTCTTTTAAATAACAATTTTTATTATAATTTAATTTGTAATTAATGTTTTTATTTTTATAATTTGGAAAACACGTTTCTAAAGTTTAATGTTACTGCAGAAAGCTAGATTCTTCCCCCCCCCTTTAAAGCTGCTGTAGCATGTCTGCATTATATATTTTTGAGGAAAGACTGTTGTTGACTATCTGTTTTAATTAAATTAAAATTCTCAATATAAATCAACTGAAATTAGAAATTAAAATCATAAGAGATTGCAACGTTTGATGTGTAAATAACTTGACAATTATATTATTATGACTATTAATCATAGACAAGCGATCTAGTCAACCTCTAGAGTTAGAAAAAACTATTTTTGTTCGCCTTAAATTTTTCCTAGCTCATCTTATGCCTTGACTAAGCTGGTAATTTTAAATAGGTGGTGTCTGAAATATTTGGTGGGAATGAGAAATACTACTGCAATAAAATTTTTCTTTACCTTAAAAAATAGTATAAATTACCCATATATATTCTTAAATATCAATATTTCAAATTTCTTCCCTATTAATATGATCATAAATAGGCATATTTGCATGTATTTATAATTATTTTTTATTTATTTCTAACATTATTGCCTATTCATTGGTGGTGATGAGAAATTTATTTTTTTAGTATGCATGAAATTTACGATAAATTTCTAAATAGTGAACATAAGTAAATAATATATAATGCAATTAGTTACATGCATATTATACAATTCCTTATGTCCAAAATATTTTTACGTAATCTTAAAATTTCTTCACATTACAAATTACTTATATTGTCAAATACATTATTGAATGAAGTTCCTTACTGAAAAGCAGTATAGCAAATATTTAAAATAAGGTTCTCAAATATTTTAGGAAATGAATTTATAATGATCTATCTTTTAGTCAAACAGCACATATTCTTTCCAGAAGTGTTTTTTGTGAAAATTTATAAATGACGAATATTTTAACTATTGTCATTTTTTATTAAAGAGTTAGTAATGTATTATTTAACTGCACAATCTGTTTTACAAAAGTAAACACTGTATGCTTTAAAAAAGTGTTAGTATGCATGTGATGAAATGATATCACATCGAGTTTTTCCTCTGTTAGTTTAGGTTGATAAATATTTTTTACAGAATATAAAGAAAAACTTTGGCCCAAAGACTACTTTGGGTTTAAGTAACCTCCATATAGCTACAAGCTTTGTCCTTAACCTATTATAGTAAAAAATAATGCATTTTCACTGCTAAAATAATGTTTGACAACATTATGACATTTAATTTAAAATAGAACTTTTTAAAGGAGTGAAAGCTTTTTATAAAAGCGAATTATTTGAAATACATAAATTTATTGCAAAATTTCCACAAATTTTCAAACATTAGTTTTATTTTAATCATTTTGATAAAATAATTTATTAAGGGAATTATATAAAACAATGCATATTTAATTTCAGTGAATCCCCAATCAGCAGTTATTTTATTCAGAAAATAGGATTTTGTTTCGGTGGGAATCTGAACATTTTTCAACCATAGAATTTAGGGAAAATATTATAGAAACAAGCAAATATTTTTTTTTGTTATTTTACATTATAAAGTTTACATATGCAAATATGTACCGATTATATTGTTATGTTATAAAGTTAACATATACAAATATGTTCCGTTGCAACATAAAGAAATGGTTTTTTTACAAAAAAATTTCTTCATATTACAACTTCCAAGTGCATTAAAATTTTTAAAAGTCAATATATCATAAAAAATTTGTCCACATTTGTTTTTTTTTATTCTGCTAGAGATTTGTTATGGTATTCTTATCTTAACTTTCTTACTTAACTATGATTTTAACATTCTCTCTTATACGACATAACCGTGTTGCATAGTTGTATTAATGAATAGAAATATTGGGTCAGGTGATTGATATGGCTTGTTGAGTAGAAGTTGAAATGAAACTCATTAATCTATTTTTTTAAATAAAAATTATTTAAATTTTAGTTTTATCAAATCTTGATATAAAAATTCCTACTGTTTTCAACATTGGTTCTATTTTCTAATTGCAGCATACAATGGAGAAGTGACTTGCTGTCATTGTGATTAAACATTAAATCATAACTTATATTGAATAAGAGAATATTCTATACCTTTTCTAATAACAATCGGGTTATATTCTGTATTTTTGGTTAGTTTGCTCTTAAGAATCTTTTTATTATTATGCTGCAAAAATTTTTCTCGACAGAGAGAGAAAAAAACAACTGTTCTATGTCTTATTAGGAGTTTTTTTTTTTTAAATAGAAACCTGGATTAAGATGAGTGAAAGATGATTTTTACAGTGCTGATAAAGGGAAAAAAAGAACTTGCATATTAACCCTATAAGGATTTTTTTGTTACATATATATTTTTAAAAGTATTCCAAATAAAATTTGTACTACATTTTATTGGTAATCAGTTTTTTTAATTGAAATTATTTAAAACATTGCTGCATAATGAGGACATTTAAATATATATATAAATAAAAGGCATTTTAATTAATATATTCGTTTATTTTCAATATTTTTTTATGATACTTGGCATATGTAAGTTATCTTGAATAAAGCTGGTTCTAGTATCAAAAATGGAGAAAAAAAATATAGGAAAAAAGTTTGTTTCTAAAGTGCCAGGTCCCTTTAAGTTTTAGTAATTTACGTATATTTTCAGAATTTTACATATTTTTTTAAAATAAAAAATTAATTTTTTTTATATATTTTAGATATGTAAGAATTACTTTAGCACAATTATTTTTTCTTTACGTCGCATATTGCAAGTGTACAGCTCAAATGTTTTAAAATCAGTGTTAGATTATAATGCCTAATTTTTTAAAAGTATGATACCTTTGATGTTAAAAAAATGCTTATTATTTATGCGTTTTAGTTGTTAAATAACTTAGCATTTAATTAACAAATTAAACTAAGTATATTGAGACAAAATATGAAATCAATTAAGTATATTAACTCATCTTAAACTATTGGAGCTTAACTTTTGGCATTTTTGTCAAATATCTTTGACGAAAAGCATTAATCACTTTTTAAAATTATTTAATAAAAAAAATATGATCAGCTTTATGCACGTATGTTATATCATTCCTTGCTTAAATTCTATTTTGTATATAAAATTGTTAAATCATGGTTAAATTTATCAAAACTTAATTGAGACAAGTTTTTTAAAAAGTGGCACCGGCACCTAAGCGAAACAGGAAGATAAACTTATGAGTAAAGTAGGTGAATTTAATATTTTTTATGAAGAGTTTATTTATTGCTAGTCGCTTTTGGTGATCAGCTTGGTCACCTTTCAAAATTTTCTTGTACACCGTATAAGCCTTAATGGAAACCAAGACAAATACTCATCACAACTATATAATTCTTCAATCCCTTCTCCAATCTTAACACCTTAATTAGTTTTAAACAATTCATTAACTAAATATTTTCATTATCTAACTGTTGCCTGCGGCAATGCCTGAGCGAAAGCACTCTGATTTCAATTTTAACTATTCTCAAGAGATGTTCATGATATTGTCAAAATTGTATTGAATTTTAATAATTTAAAATATGTCCGATAGCCATTAAAGCACACAAACCACTATAAGTATGAGTTTGAGGCATTTCAGGATAATAGGCAGCAAAAGTATTAAAATTTATTTCGATCTCTGTTGTGAGATAAG